GTGAGTGCACACATGTGTAAAGCTATACCTCCGAACCTCAAGCATTGAATCAACCATGAAAGTCCATACCTCCAAAACCCTGTGAAGCTCACAACACAACCTTCGTAACCCCAAACCCTGAACCCTCTATAAACCCTTAAATCCTGAACCTTATATATAAACCCTCACAAGATTTGTTTCGTCCAGATTGAGGGGCAGTGGACCGTGTGGTTTAGGGGGTTTGGGTTTTGCGGGGTTGGGGCAAAAGCTTTCTGTTGTTGTTTGTATAGTATATTTGGTGCCCACACATATATGTATAACTTGCTCACAAGCCTCAGCCTCAATGCTCGGTGTGTCTGACCATGTGTGTCCCGTCCTTATAAAATGTTTTATGGCTATAGCGAACAAACCACTGTATGAAATAAGGCACAAAAGTTCAGCTGGCAACAAACACCAACTTTGCATAAAGGTGCTGTTCTGTTTATTTATATATGGAGAGAAGGTACCATGGAGGATGCAGGGCCCGAGCGAAAGCGACGAAAGGGTGGGGTCCAACAGAGATTGGGCCAGGCGGTGAGTGAGAAGTCCACCTCAAGTTCTTTGCACGATTTGCTGATGACGTATTTGGCACAAGGCCTCCTGTCGGCCTCTATGATTCATGCAATTGCAGTTGCAGCGGCTGCCGATATTAGAAATGCAAGGGACCTTCCTGATTTCGGCCTCTATGGCAATTGCAAATATTAGAAATGCAAGGGACGGGAAAATTCTTCCTGATTTGGACAGGCTCAGCAAGGTGAAGCATGGAAAAAATTTGCAATCTTCTATTGACAACCACTTGGCCCAGCAGTCCAATCTTCCGATGCCGACAGAATTTAATATCCCCTTAGCAGGACAAGTCGAAGGCACGGCGACTTCCATGATATTGCTTCCGCACGAGATTATGCACCACCTTTGGAAGACGACGACTGGATGGATTACTTCTGTGTTGCCTGATGCGGAGGCTTTGCCTCGGTTTTGGAGATCGTTCAATGGACACCCTTGCATGTCAAATCATGCGGTAAAATCGCGAGCTAATTGGATGCAAAGGGCTATTCCCCTTTGCATACACGGCGACGAAGTTCCTGTTTTTGGAGTGGGCAAGATATGGGCTCGCAGTGTTTTGGCTTTTTCATGGGTATCGCTGATGGCCACAGCGGCCGGCCGATCTGCTGCCGATTGCAACCTCTACATTTGGGGCGTTTTTGAGAAGTTCATTATTCCGGCTGGCGGCGAGGGGGCTGGGACAATGGAAACTTTTTGGCAAGTGATGTATTGGTCTTTCAACATTCTTTACACCGGTAAATGGCCTGCTCGGGATTGGCAAGGCAAGAAGCAGCCTGGTGTGTTGTTGTATATGTACACATGTGCCAGAAATCTGGAAACCCTTACATTTTAGGACCCTGTGGGAACCCTATAAGCTGTAAGCCTTTTTGTCTTTCTTGATTTTTTATGATGTGGGTCCTGTTTTAGATATGTGACTATATACATACACACCCTATGTATGAGAGCCCTGTTCTCAAATCCAACCCTAACCCAACAGCTTCCTTGATGGTGATGATATATATATATATATACACAGTATATAATATCGTATAAACATATATAAGCCACAAAACCACGGACCCGTGGAATCCCAAAGCAGCACGAACCGGATGTGAGAAAAATCACCACACAGTATACGTAAAAAACCCTCTCACCACATGTAGATATATATATGTAGATATATATGAACCTGTCTCACAAGTAAGAAAATGTTTGTTACACGGCACAGAGGTATGGGGCCAGTACAAAGGAGGGCGAACGAGCGGGAACCGACCTATGCGGAGGATATTATGGTGTCCTGGTTCAAATGGCTGGCGACTTGGATTATTATGCGAAATGGCTGGAGGTTCCACGATGGAGCAATCACAGCAAACCTTGTGCTCTTTGTCGGGCCGCCTTCAAAGGACCACTAACATGGATGGACAATCGTGCAAATTCGCCGTGGCAAGCCTCGTGCCTCACCACCACCAACTGGAGATCCCACTGGAATCCATCATGCCAGCTGTATTCTTTACCTGGCTTTTCGGGACTTTGTATCACGATGGACTATATGCATTGTATGTTTTTGGGGTGGATACAGTTTTTTTATGGCTCCGTGCTCAGCATCGTGGTCCACGATTGTTTGGGTGGGAGTATCTTGGCGAATTTGAAATACTGCGACTCCTTCATCAAGAAGTACCAGCGAGACAACGAAACCAGATACACATTCCGCCAGCGACTTCTGAAACTTACAATGATACAACCAAAAAAAGGATTCCCCAAGATGAGAGGAAGAGCTTCCGATATTCAATCTTTGGACAGTGCAATTCTTGCTCTATTCGAAGAGCAAATGGACGAGGGTATCTATCAACACAAGCAAATCCGGCTCTTTTTGCGGTTGAACCTGCAGCTGGCTGAAATATTGGAAGCTTATGGGCCACGGTACGGCTTCTTGGCTTTACCTGAGGAGCAAGCAAACCTGGCTTTCAAGCTCGGTTGCCAAATGGCACAGCTCCACAGCAGCCTGCAAGCCCACTACAAAGGGACGGGGGAGAAGCTCTTCAATCTCACAAGTAAGACCCACTTCGTTTTGCATAGTCTCCTACTCAGCAGTTTTATTCATCCGTCGATGGTCTGGTGCTACAAGGGAGAGACGACGATGCATCGCCTGCAGATTCTATGGAAGAGTTGTTTGGCAGGGGTGAAGCACTGGCATGCTTCCAAAAAGGCTGCCCTCAAAGAGAGGCACCTTTTGTTTCTGCGGGGCAAAGTTGGGCGATCGTGAGAGCTTCTTTCTTTTCTGTCGCGAAAAAAAAGAGTGTCTCTCTGCTATATGTGGTGCTCCTGGTCTTTTGTTTGGGCTTTTGAATCACAGTTGTCGTATATACTGGTGTGGATCTTATAAGCAATCTGCATGGATTCTCTTTGGTTAGTTTATGGCTTTGGGCCTGCGAATTTTCGGAAAAGTCCTTACTTCTGCTGTGGATCCTTTACATGTGGTGTCTGCGATTGCAGAGCAAAACAAACTCATGCCGGTGATTTTTTTAAATCCTTTACATGTGGTGTCTAAGTTTGCAGCCGCAAATATGAGTTCCATGTTTGTGTTTGCATAATGTTTTTATGTGTTTTGTCATGTTTTTAGCTCACCAGAAAATTTACGTAAATTTGGTCATTTTACACTAAATCCTTCGTTTACAGTAAATCAAGCCAAAGTGTAAAATTAGGTAAACAGCAGACTCAGGGTAAAGTCTAGTTGCTGCTGCCTGCTGCTATTGCTCCGAGTCTTCTTTTGGATAGGTGCTGGACCAGTGCAAGGCGTTCTTGAACAAGGCTAGCACCTTTGATCCGGAGTGGGTCCGAGCTCCCACTGACATGCACAAGCAGGGCCTCCGTGAGATGGAGCTGGCAAAAGCTTTGCTTTGCGAAGGTGTTTTGCTAACTTCCATTATGGAGCCTGACGAGCTTGGTGATGCCTTGGAGGGTGCTCTTGGAGAGATATCAGATGGCAGCGTTCGCAAGGCAGACATCCACCCGAAGCTCTACGAGCGTGCATGCGAGATGCGCACAAAGAAGCCTATTGTCTGAGACATCACGCTTCGCAAACACACTTCCGACTGTCTTTGGCTTGTGCCACCTGCCACGCTGCTCCCCACATGTCTTCCCAGTGTATATACTGCATGAACGTCCCTACAGCACTTGAGCATGATTTAGTCGTGGCATATGTTTACTGTGGTGTTGCTTACTTGTTGGGCATTGTTGGGGGCAGCTGTGTGCACGGCAGCTGCAGCGCTGCCACCTGTCACATTTCTCCGTTTTGACATTTTGTGATGGATCGGCTTCAGGTTTGATGCGCCATGCGGACCCCCGCCACTGTGTCAAGCCTCAGTACAACAGCTCTCGACCTCTTTTGTCTTTCGACGGCGTATCGACAAGGGACCTGAACATCGATTCTCACCGTACTCAAACAAAGCATCAACCAGAGATTGCGAAAATGAAGTTGTGCTCGCGCATCTGTCCAGTCCCAACAGCACGTGAGAGATACCGGAGAATCCTTTAGGAAAGCATCAAATTAGCAGCCTATTTATTTCCCATTCACAGTCTACTTATTTCCTATCCAGGCAAACCCTGGAAACCTACTTAAATCCTATTATTTCTCTAGAAATAATTATTGGCTAGATTTGTGTGTGTGGCTGGACACCCCACGTCATAATGCTATGCTTGTCGTGACGATGTTGTTGATGATCAGCCAGAGATGCCAAAACCCCTTCATTAAGGAACATGCCTTGTATTCTAGTAAGGGGATCCCTTACATTTTCAAAACATGTTCCTCGATTCAGGAATTCAGGGGTTTTGACATCTCTGTCCTAGGAGCCGCTGAGGGTGTTGAAGTTGCCCTAGCCTTTTTCCGGCTTTCTAAGGGTAAGCCGAACACAAGGCCCTTACTATAGGGACCCACATGACAGTATAAAAGGCACCAAACCCCTATTCGAATTCTTAGGCAACCATTATTAGCCCCTTAACCCCGAAACACCTCACTCCTTCAGCCTCACGAACTAAGCCCCCAACAGGAGTACTTCTACAAGGATACAGAGAACATCTTCTTTTGCATCCCTGCTGTCGCTCGCACCTCCACCACCCTAAACCCTAAATTCCGAATCCGCAAAACTTCCCATCCTAGAACCCTCCAGCTTTCAACCTTAAACGAGAGAAGCTTTGCTGTTTCTTCGCCTGTTTCTTGGTTGGTGAAGGTTGTAGCAAACTCCCCCAAGCCTTGCAAACATCTGCAAACCCTGAACCTTAGTAACTGCTTGAAATCGCAATCGACGATGCATTATGCTGCCATCGCTGCTGCCTTTTTTCGTCTGAGACTGCAGTCAAAGTCTTCAACAAACTTTGCTTCCCCCCACGCTCCGAACCCTGAAGCGCCCTGAACCCCTGCCTTCGGTTCTAAACTCTACACCTTAAGCTGTCCACCTCAACCCTGTATCAGTGCTACTTCTGTCAAACCCAGACAAGTAGCACGTGCCAAGTAGGTCGCAAGCTTTCGCGGTCATGGGGGGCTCCAAACTCCGGCCTTCTAAGTTTGCTGCACCCAAAAGGGCCGCACAACGAAAGATCTGGCGTGGAGTCAGAAACACAGAGCACATCAAGTTGGGATTGAGGTCTGCAAGCAGAAGCCGTCGACAGAAGAAACCAGACTCCCGAAAACTGGCACGATGCAAGCTGGATAGAACCTTTGCAGATATAGTGCTCTGGTCAGACAAACAGGCCGAGAACCTGTTCAGACAGGCTGGCGTCTTGGGGCCCCGGAAAGAGAGGTTCACCTGCTCGCGATGCGGATCCAAGATGAAAGCATACTCCGCAGCCTCCTCCTCCTCTACAGGTTCTTCACCCAAGGACGTGCAAGAGTGTCCGCGTTGCAGCGCGCCAGCCGCCACAAGCTGCAGATCAGCAATAGCTCCTTGGCATACTCTCCCTGGTGGTCCGGCTCGAGGCGCCGCCGCCTGTCGAAAGCAAGCAGGAGGTTCTGAAGGCGTACGAGAAGCACGTCGTTGCTGACACGTGCTTGGCTGCACATGGCAGCGCTCGCTCTTTGGTGGCCGCAAGCAGTGGGTGGGAATGCCAAGTGCCACTGCCAGACATAGTGTTGACGAAATGATGCCTGTCAAGAAACACAAGCTCAACATGCTCTGTGACAAGCAAAGCAAGCTTGTGAAGCAGTTGAGCACCCGCGAGCAGCCATCTGCGTTGGTGACGGCACGCACTGCGACGGCGGCGACAACAAGGCGGAATCGCATTTCTCCGCAGTCAAGAGGATCATGAGAAAGCAGAGCCTCTTGGGCCGAACTTCGCCGAAGATGATCGCCAGTGCTGTCTTGGCCACACAACGCCTTCGACGGGAGCCCGGCTAATGGACCGTGCTCAGAGCGTTGGCTCTGTACAGAAAAGACCGTGTGCATGAGCTGGGTCATGGCCCCGAAGAGTTTCTCAACCCTGCTAAAGACAAGGAGTGGGTCAGACTGTGAGTGCCTCGCAAGCAAAACATGCGCGAAGCAGATTGCTCCGTGAAGAGCTTTACTTAACCACCTCGATGTGTCCAAAACCCAAACCACAGCGCATTTATTACCAGAAGACTAATGGTTTCTGTGCGTCAACATTCTTCATTTACCAATGTTGCAAAGCCTGACAGTCCTGCACCTGCCATGTAAAACTACGGTTCCTCCTGCTACATCCTTGGAAAGGCGCGCGTGAGCAGCACGTCGGGGCCCCAATTTAAGGTACCCCTATTTTCGGAGGCTCCCATTTAGGATTTGTGATTCAGGGTACAGGTAAACCACTCCCAAAAACCCTAAACCCTAAACCATGACACTTCGAGCCTCGAGTGAGCAGGTTCTGGCCGGCATGAAAAGCTTTGGCGAGCTGACTGTGAAGGTGCCTTCGTCTGACAGTCCTTGAGATTGGGTTTCTTAGTACTGGATAAGCAGTGCTCCTCGATCCTTTTGAAGGGTTATTGCGTCATTTTTGTGTGTTCCCGCAAGAAGTAGGCTTCTTCCCCTGATTCAGGGATCTTGATGTTAAATGAGTTTTCAGGACACCTGCTTTCTTTGATGTAGAAAGAAACGCAGAGTTCCTCAAGGGATGCTTTATCTAGGAGCCTTAATTAGAATAGGGTGGGGTATATTATACTATTACTATAATAGGGAAGCCCCAAAATAGTATCGGTAATTATTTAGGCCTTTTGTAGACACCATGCATAAATCACCTGAAAGCGTTCGGCAACTCCAGGCACCTATGCAGCAATCTTCCGAAAATACGAGAACATATAGCCCCCAATTAAGGTACTTACATCCTTACTTACTATAATGAACCGCAGAAAGTTGGAACATGGAATTGGGATGGGATAACTATGTTCCAACTCTTGTATATACTGCAAGCTCCATGATCCTCCCGGCGCTTTAGTCAACCGAAAAAACACAAATGACGCCATTTAGCCTTAGTCCGGGAAGGTCACGTAAACTACCATGGGACTTAGTATAGAGTCATCATGAGGGTGACTATACTCATATTTACTTATAGCCCCAATTCAGGTACTTATAACATTACTCTCATAGTCCCATGATCCTCCCTGTGTAGAACCCTTCTAGATCTTGTTAAGGAACCCTCTAAGTACCAAGTCCCGTTGATCCTCTAAGCACAGCTGCCAATTTCATCGGAATCCTTGAAACATCAATTCCGAGGACAGTCGGCACTCGAAACATGTCGGAACCCTAAATGCAAACCTCTAGGGTGTGGGTTTAGGGTTTTGTGGCTTCAGGGTTTGAAGTTTCAGGGTTTAGTGTTTTAGGGTTTGAGGGTTTAGGGTGTAGATTTGAGGTTTAAGTTTAGGGTTCTGTAAGAACTGCAAGAGTAACCTTAAGACTTCGAAGACATTCATCCCGCAACCATAAAACCTAAGCCCCCTTATCCCCAACCAGGCCCGCGCCGCCATCGACAACCGTGACCATGCCGCACTTGCGGATCTCATGGATGAGAACTTCAACCTCAGGAGGTCGGGAATAGTTCCCTAAGGCTCCATGTAATTATAATATAGTAGAATATCATACTTAGGCCGTAGGTACTTCAAGGCCGAAGTATACACTACATAGGTCATTAGGGCTTTGGGGCTATAGTTCAAGGTTTGGGGTTTTGGCTCCATGGGTGTACGGTATTGAGTTCAGGACTCATTCTCCAGGCTTAGGATGTAGAGAAAGTAGTAGCAGGGAGATTTTGCTGCTGAGAAACTCGGGGTTGACCGGAACTTATCAGGGAGCCTCTGAGTCTCTGGTCCTTTAGGTGATTGGTAAAGGATGACTACAAGGGTGTCAAGGGGGTGTAGGATCAGTAGAGGATTCAAAACATAAGGAAACCCCAAAAGGTGGGGAACTCGATAAAGGCCAAATCGTGCTGGGGTTCCCCATGTATCATTCTTAGGGATTGAGGCTATTGGGTTTCCAACTTTTGGGCTTCTATGGGCTGCGACTTTGTTCATTAAGTACCAAGTTGGGACTTAGGACCATCCCTAGACCCCCCAATTACTTTCTACTATACCCTCAAATACCCACTATGGAGGAAGATAAGGGCTCCATTAAGGGGCCATTGGGGGGCGGGGTCCTGGTAGACCGAACCAAGCCTCAGTCAAAGAGATTGTGGAAGCTTCTGAACTGTAGGAGTGCCTTAGTCTCTTGTCTGAAGCTTGGATAAATCCTTTGGCAAGAAGTCGCCCAGCCGCCTTTTTCAACCCAGCATGTTCCAGACTGTGCAGACCGGCTTTCGTCTCAAGTTGTTACGAGGCAGTCTGAGGCAGCCTACAATCACGGCAGTGTACTGAGGTGAGTGCTGTTAACTTGGCACTACGGAGCGTGCTGTTTTTTCGGCCATATGCAAGAATTCCACACCTGTGCTACAGGCAGATGTAGAAGTTGTAAAGGGGCTGGAAGTGTCGGTAATCGTATCCTCTTCTAGACCCCGTAGTGATTATTCGATAATGCTGCGGGACTTAGAAAGCCCTCTAATGCTAGCCCCAATACTATACGCGCGTTTTCAATTACCGATACAAAAAAAGTACCCCAAAACCCTATCTATTCTAATTATGAAGGCCAAAGGCCCCCGTATTTAACAACCCTCACAGGAGCCCTTATGGTACCCGTTAAAGGAACCCTATTCTACTTACGTTTTAGTACCCCTATATATCCCTTATGGTAACCTTATAGACCCTTTTTAAAGGAACCCTACTCTAGTTACTAAGGCCCCCTACTTGGAGGGTCGGGGGACTTAGTAACTGGTTACTTTATGGACTTATAAGTACCATGACCCCAATTGGGATCCCTTTTAGGGTACTTATAAGTCTACTTACTTCCTACTTACTAAGTCCCCCGACCCTCCAAGTATAGTAGGTCCCTTTATGGCGACGCGTGCCTGGGAAAGAAGAACCTCCAGATGGTGGAGATCTGCAGGCCCTTTTCTTAGGGGTACTTAGAGATATTTTTTATTTTTTTGGTGATTGTAATCCCTAAGACGCAGCTATTTTTTTCATTTTTGCTAGGGTCTAAGTTCAGTATAGGTTTTTAGGAAGAAGGGGGTCTCTATGAGCTTAGGGTTTAGGGGTTTAGTGTTAAGGCGGTTTAGGGTTTAGGGGTGTAGGGCTTTAGGAGGTTCAGGATCAAGGGGTTTAGGCGGTTTAGGGTTTTGGGGTTTTAGGATTTAGGTTCCAGGGTTTTAGGATTTAGAAAGAAGAGGGGTTTAAGAGTTTAGGGTTTACAGTACAAGCCAGGAAGTTGGAACATCCTTATCCTCACTGGGCTCCAGGTAAAGTATAGCGAATCCTGGCACTAGTCACCCTTAACCTTGGAGTCTAGAGTGGTTGGGATTTCGGGTGTTTAGGTGTTTGGGCTACTTCCACATTTTTCTGTGTAAACCCTAAACTTTAAACTGCGATACCTGAACAGATACTGCCGAAAATCTAGGCTCCTAGATTACTTCGACAGCTTCCATGTATGGGTCGCTTGAGGGCTAGGGGATGAGGAGCAACAGGTAACGTTGTAAGCAAAAACCTGACAAGGTTGTAGCGCTTCGACAAAACTCAATGACGCCATGCTCTAAGGCAAGCGCCAAGCCACAACTCCGTAAAAGAGGCTATCTGTAGAGGCCTGAATGAGCAGTAGTACTACCATTCTGCAGTCCCTACATATCCGCGTTCGAAGATATCCCAAAAACCCTGTTGTGATTGTTAGCGCCCAACCGAAAACTGAAGCGGCCGAAAGTCAGATGGAGTTGAACTTTATGTCTGTCAAAAACTCTGAAGACTTAGATCCTGAACTGTGAACGCTGAACCCTAAACCCTAGCCAGCGAAGCGGATGGATCGAATCAGCTCGAGACTAGAGCGTGGGTAAAATACTCAGTATAACCCGTAAACATTGCAGTTGTCCAGTATGCCTGTCTCCAAAACAACGAGAAAACAGGGTTTGGATCCCGTTTCACGGTACTCAAAACAGCCACTCCTTCTCAAAAGGACAGTCCCCAAAACCCTGGCAAAAACTTCAAAGCACACGCAAACCACAAAAGCCCAAAGTGCTAAACCCTTACAAAGCTTGGGAAAAGGATAGACCTTTGGACCCTTCACAAGGACGTTAGGTAAATGGAGCTTTCGACAGTTCTATAAAGGCGCGTTTACGGGGACCTTCAAAATCTAGATCTCTTATCGAGCCCCCACTTGCAAAAGTCCTATAGAAGCCTAGCCAAACCCTAACCCTGTAGTATAAGGCTCAAAATAGGCCCAAAAGCCTCATATAGTATCGTCCTTTAGGCACGAAAGCCCCACTATATGAGTCCTTACCACTACCCCCCCTCCCCCCAATGGCCCTTCAATGGAGCCCTTATTTATGGTCCTTATTAGCGGTATTTGGGGTATTATTGGGGGTAGTGCGTTTGGGGGGGTCTAGGTAGAATCTTACCCTAAGGCTCTAAGGACTCATATATTGGGCCTAAACGCCATACTAGAGAAGACTTTTGGCCCATTTTGAACCTTAGGAGTAGGGTAAATCAGCCCCCGCCAATGGCCCTTTGATGGAGCCCTTATGGTCCTTAACAGTGCGTAGCTGCAAAATCGTATAGGTAATTATTTAGGCCTCTACAGTTACAAAGATCTGCCAAGGCGCAGCGGATGCGCCGTGAAGTTCCCAGGTCAGACCTCGCTTGAACAGGGTTGAGGGGTTTAGGGTTTAGGGTTCAAGGCCTGTTTAGGGTTTAGCGTTTAAGGCATGTTTAGGGGTTTAGGGTTTAGGGGTTTAAGGTTTAGAGGTTTACGGTTTAGGGTTGAGGGCTCACAAGCATTTCAGAGGTTTGTGAGCACATTTGTTTTATGGTGGAGTTTAAGGTTTTGGGGAATAGGATAGCAGCTGCGCGAGTGAAATTAAGGGTAGATGATTATTGGAG